CGCACCTCCTTCCCACTCTATCCTCTCCCCCATGGTCGAAGAGTCCTACGCAGAGGGTGACATGTAATCACGTAGGCAGCCCAGGCCTATCGATCAACCCACCAATAAACCCATCAGTGACCCACTGTGGAGTTCGGCAGCCATCTGGGACGACTTAGCAGTCCCACTTAGGGACTGCACTGCTTACTAATTCGCGGGGGAGGGGGGTTAGGGCATTTGCCCTAAACAAATACTGCGTTTACGACACCTACCAGCAGACTATAATAGATGCGGCCAAAAATCTGTAATAAACAAGAACAAACAAACAACCTTACTCCTCTTCTCCACCCCTCCCCGCTGTTCCCTCCGGGATACTCCCCGGGCTGCTAGGTTGAGTCCGCTCCCACTAGCGGCCTGAAATGTTCGTTCCCTGTTAGACAATCCAAGAAGCGGTCGACCGGAACGGAGGGCAGCGTTACTCGTTCGAGAACTGGCACGCTATATGGTAGATATCACTGCACTCAGAAAAACACGATACTCCTATTAAGGCCAACTGGAGGTGTGTGCCGGTTACACCTTCTAGAGCGAGCGCCCACCGACAGTAGTGCGATGACGACGTCACCATTGCCGTCCGGACCGACATCGTGGGACGCATGCCCTGTCTGCCTCAGGATATCAACGATTGTCTAATGAGCTTTCGCCTACCTCTTCAGGGGACACACCCTCCCTACCCAAACAAAGCAGCCTTCTACCGAAGTCACCGTCTTCTGTAACAGCGGCTGTGGGATATGCAGGAAGCCCGACGCGTGTCGGATCGAGCAAATGGAACGTTTAGCCTTGGCAGGCACTGCGTCCCAATTCGCTTTACGCAGACAGACAAATGGTGCGTGCGAAAGGGAACAAAAAGTGAGGTCGGTACTGAGGTTTATTACGGGGTGCCATCAGTTGTGGCTTAGAAGGTTGCCAGCCAACGTCGTAACTTGACTCTTAACAGAATCGAGGGGAGGGTTTAGGGTGCAATATATCCTTAATATAACCTTTACAACATTCTCCCCTACGTGAGACCCGAGAGCCTCCTGTATTGTTGACTGATGCACATGCAGTGCGGACCAGGTTTTGGGACCCACAGAGATTGGCTGTTTCTCTTTACCAGTCACTACCTTGACGCCTAACTAGACTTTGTCTTGGCATCGGAGCACGGTTGAGATAGGAGGAGCGAGGGGGTAGATGTACGCAAGTCGGCTTCACTATAAACCGATTCCCGCGCGAGCCACCACTACGTCAACCTCGAGGGCCGGTGGCGAACATAGTTGTTCGCAGTGATCGAAATATCGACTGCAGTCGTCTGAGCCGATAGTGAACCAACCCCGGAATAGGGATAGCACTCGACGGGGCGTTTGTGTTTCGGAACTTTGTCTACTAAACTACGCTAAACATGTGCCTCGAGTAGTTCTGGCCAATAGGTTCGAATGCACTTTGTAGAACGTATCTTTGTATTTTAGTGTCCCTGACATTTTCGGAAGTTGGACCACACAGACTCAGTTTGGATTTTACAAAAACAATTCCCTACTGCAGTGAATACTGAAAGAGAAGTCGATTAAGCAGAACTTACTCAAGGCCACGCATTTCAAGTCGACATTACTGTCCTGGTCAGCCTCAAGTTTGTTACCATCCACGCCTTCCGTTATCACCAGGATGTTATCTGAAAAAGAAAATATTTTACGAATGAACTCACCTAATTCCATCAAAAAAACAGTTATAGCCTTACTCTAGAAACATGTTGAGGATGAGATGGGAGAAAACAGGCAGTAAACCTTTTAGCTTTACATAATTTTGTTTCGTTTTTTGCAGTCCCAGGTGAGACTACTTCCTTTTATATTACACTTTACCTTCGGGTTTTCCTTCTATGGGAACTAGTGTTGGCAGCGGTCTGTGTGGCTTCCGTTCAACATCCACTGTGAAGTATTCTGAGGTGAATTTGAAAACCTTAAACGGGTCCGCACCGGCTTCCGGTTCAATCTTGTCGGCAGCGACATGCACAACACAACGGCCCTTCACACCACGACCACCCACGGTGCCTGTCGGAGCTTGGATACCGTGGAGGCCGAGGCGACTGCCGTTGACCTCGACACCCACAGCCAGATTGCTAGTGGAGGTGGCGTCACCGTCCAGATAACGCCATTCCCATCCATAACGCACACCTTCACCCGCCGTCAGGGCGTTGCCTGTGCTCACTTG